CTAGCAATATGCTTTTACATCATAAAAGTATCAAAGCCTACTTGGTCATATCAATGTCTGTGTTGTTGCTTGATTATGTCTCCCCAGTTCAAGAATGAACATTACACACTAGCAACGGGAATGATAACACCAAACCCATGAGCTCATTTCATGTTGGTTGCTTTTGAAAGTTATTAGGAAACAAATCATTTTGAAAATCATTGCTAAAGGAGAGATCACTTTTAAATATTTGTTTTAATCTTTCATATCTGAACTATGTCTCACCATAGCTAGTTTATTAAATCATTTTCCTTATTAAAGTACTCTATTTGAAGCATAGAGGAGAAAAGACAGAGTTCAATTTTACCACTCTGAAAGAACTTTAAGCTCTAGACAGTGATGCCTATGGCAGATAACAGTACAAAGTAGATCTATTAATTATATACATGTTTATTAAAGTTCATAGACTCAGCTATAAAATAGCTTTGCACTCCCCCAAATAAACAATACACACAACATGCATTTCAGTAAACCTGTGGACCAATCTAGCAATTTTCACAAATACAGACTTGTGAAGCATATCAGAAGCAGGACATGCATGTCATTTGCAGAACTCCAGCCTCCTGAAATGCCATGACAAAAATGATTTGATTTCTTCAACAAAACTTTTGCTAGAACATAAAAGATGTTGGTCAGGGAAGCTATAGAATACAAGGCCCACAGGATCTATAAAATTTCTTGGTTAAGAAAAAGTTTGATTATTTCATACATGAATATCATGTGTTTTGATGAAATCCACCCTTCGTTCCCTCCTCTCTTATTCCTCCACTATCTTCCCATTTGGTACCCCAAACTCACTGAGTCCACCTAGTGCTGACCATATGTGCATGGGTATGTGACCACCACTGGAGCGTAGATTCTCAATGACTGCATGAAAACTGAGTCATCCTCCCTCAATAGCTAACATTGCCAATGGCTCTTCAGACACAGGTGGGACTTCCTGAACTCCTCCTTGCATGATTAAATTTTAGCTCACTTGCTCTTGTATAGGTCTTATGCACACAGCCAGTGTGATAGTGCTTCATGTGTGAACAGTCCTGTCATGTCTAAGCACAATGTTACAATGTTTTACTGCAGTTATTCACTATCTCCAACTCTCACAATTTTTCCCCCTCTTCCATGATGATCCTTGAGACTTGTGTAAAGTGTGTGTTATAGATGTTCCATTTAGAGCTGAGCACAGCAGTTTCTTGTTCTATATGTGCTGACCGGTTGCGGGATTTTGTTGTTGTCACCATCTACTGAAAAGGAAGTTCATTGATGAGGGGTGAAAGATGCATTAATATATTTGTATTAAGACAAAAGTTTAGGAGACAATTTAACACTGTGTCCATTTAGCAGAATAAAAGTATTGGGTTCTGCCATGGGGCCTAGGGCCTAGCCAGACATGTGATTTGTGCCAAATTAAAGTCATTAGACATGTATTCTGTCTTGTGTAATAGGCTTTAAATACAATTATAGAATGGTTGGTTACTCCCATAACATTCATGCCACCTATGCACAGCTGGGCCTATCATGTCAGAATATGTGCTATTGTAGCTTGCAGGTTTTACAGTGAGGTAATACTGATGATTACCTTTTCTCTCCTAGTAGAATTCTTAGACTGTTGCAGAACTCTGGAGGCTACTTAGTAATAATGAAGCTTCCAGGCTAGTACCAGTTTATTTTCTCCATGCCGTATGACTCAAATTCCTGGTTTATCTTTACTAATAGGGACTTACCATTGAGTTTTGGAGGTAGTGTCAATAGCCCATAATACATCAGAGGTGTGTGTGTGTGTGTGTGTGTGTGTGTGTGTGTGTGTGTCTATGGAAACACATTTACCAATTCCTTGAAATTAGGTACTCATACATGTCCCTAGGCTTTTTATTTGATAGCCTATGTTGTCTACAAAAAACATTTCCCCTCTTATGGTGTGATTTCATTTAAACTCCTTTTATATACGATACACACATCTATGTTTATGTATATTTTAGGAAGTTTCTACAGTAGTAGTTTTCCATGACTTTTTCAAAGGTCTTTAATGTTAGTTATCTCTCTCCATACTCTCTCCTCTACCCTGACCTCCCAGGGTTGTATAGTAATTCAATTTAAGGAAAGGAATTTCCTTAAATTAGTGTAGAATGGAACTATGGACATTGAGTTTGTATTTGGTGAATGTTCCTAGATTCATTTATGCAGGTCAGAAGCCAACATGGTTTGCTCGGCAACTAACATTGGATACAAGTAGAATAAAGCATTTCTTTCATTTTATTTGCATTTAAAAGTCAAGTAAAATACAAAACAGAAACTATAAAATTAAAAATTACATAAATCCCATCATTTAGACAAAGTAAGTTTTTGGCAGAAAATTTTATGCATGAATCAGCATTATTTAATTCCTTTTTATTTTGTATGTGTTATGTCTTTTAAAATATAGCCATTATATGTACACAGTATATATGCATATATGCACATGCATGCCTGTTTTTGTTTGTTTGATTGTTTGGTTTTGTGTGTATAATACCACTGTGCTGGCTAGCTTTTTGTAAACTTGACACAAACTAGAGCCACCTGGGAAGGGGGAACTTCAGTTTATAAATTGCCTCCATCAGATTGGCCTGTGGAAATATTAGTGAACATATGACCTAGTAAATTTCACATGCATCAGGGCTAGACTTGTCAATGCTAGCATAGATAGCTAGGAACTATGCCATGCTGTGACATAGGAAACCATGGCTACAGAAACCCAGCCTCGAGCCTCTGTGACACAGTGCTGAGTTACCAGGAAGGTCTTTTTATTTTAAAAAAGTCAGATTATGTTAAGAGTCTGAACATTCAGTGTATCACTAAATGATGCTATGCTTGCATGTTTTTAATTAATTTCAGAAAATTAAATGCTTATCTTTTCCCTTTGAAACTTAAGAAACCAAAGTAGGATTCAGATGGGATGAGCTGAAGAAGGAAGATGATTTTTAACAGTTAGACTTGACTTCACAGCTTAATAAATCTCTATTTCTGATGGCCAGGGGAGCATGTTGCCTCTTGCCTTGGCCTCTTTACTCTTTGATTATTAATCCCCTGCATGTTGGAACACTGTTGTTAACTTGTCGAAACTGGCACTTGCATCAGTTTGTTCTTTGGATAGAAATCGCTTAACTCAAGCCTTAGTAAAAGTGTTTGCTTATTCACATTGAATTCAGTACAAAGAATATTTACACTTTGAGTTTAGTGCAACAAAAGGAGAGGAGAGCCCCTGGTGTATCAGCAGGTCTGAGAGTGCAAGGCAATCAACAGCAGAGTGTAATGTAGGTCTGCTCCACAGGCTAACTTGTAGTTATATGTATATGTATGATTGACACTGTATTTTCCCTTCTTTTGCTACCAAGTCCTGATTCTCACCATTCTCACTCCATCAGCAACTCAGCTCTGGAGCAAGAGCAGCCTGAGGTGCAATAGACCTTGGTGTGATTACATATTAACTATCCAGGGGGTGGCTCACTGAAAGATCTCCTGAACACAGTGAATATAATTTGTGTTGGTGCAGTTGGAAGGATTTCAAATGGAAGTGTCTTGATCCAGCAGCTTTCCTGGTGCCACCACCAGCATATGTAATTCCTAAAGATAATACCAAGCACGCACATCTCAAAGTCTTAAAAATCACTTCCTGCATTTGTTTTATTTCCCCAAGAGCTTAATTTCTGACATCTTCTCTGTGAATATGAAATATCCTTTGTTGAACCAGTGAACACCAGGGACCACCAGTCTTCATTATACCATCACCTCCCTCATATTAATGCTTTGTTGAAATTCTCATTCCTTATTGTCTATAAATCTCCTCACGCCCTTTAGTATTTGTCCCATCATTGGTGTTCTACAGTTACTCCTGAGACAATTCCTCACCGAGAATTTACATGCTTCCTCAGCTACTGCTTGCAAGCACTTAGTTCTTCAATGCAAATAAAACTTCAAAATGTGATTTCAGTGGCATTAGAAAAACAGAAACACATCAAAGCAGTATTGATTTAGATAACTTTGTTGTGACAATCAATCATGCCTGAGTCATGTGCATACCAAAACAAATAATGCCCCCAAAAGAAGTCTTTACCAAGACGCTGTGCATATAAACAATTTCCCGTTTCTCTGCTGGAGGCTCTGTGTATACATCAGGGGCCCATATGGGGCTGTCTGTGTCTCACTCCACCTCCCAATCCTCAGCTCCATGCTCCTTCAAGTGAAGAGCTGGCATTTGTTCATACAGCAGCCATTGCACTTGATAGTGATCCCTAGTATCTATAGATTTGTGAATAACATATATTTGGCCCATGCATTCTCCCCCAAACTCAGGCTTCTCCACCATCACTGTTGTTCCAACAGTCTAAACTATACCCCACCCACAGAGTTCTCTTTCTTGTTTGTGATTCATGATGTGATATTGTTCTCTTTCACATGTCATTTTGTCCCTGGAGAACCAGGCTGTATCATTTATTATGATTTTTACTTTGCCAAGGCCACTTAAACTTCACTGCTCCCTAATTTCTTCATAAAGAATGAAGCATGACAGCAGCCTAGTAGGGCTTACTTCAAGTACTCTATCCTGTAAGTGTAGTTGCTGTTTATTTTTTTTAACTCTTAGTGTATGCTTTACATGTATTCATGTGTGAATATAGGTACACTCTCTCATATCGGTATACATGGAGGCCAAGGTTGACATTGTCTTTCTTCAGTTGCTTCTCTACCTTACTTTTGAGACAAGCTGTCTTATCAAACCTGAAGCTCATTATTTTGGAAAGACAGGCTGGGCC